CAGGCCATGAAACGGGAAGTTCCTTGGCGAGCCATTGCCAAGAAAGACGTCCCCGCCTTCATCAAGGCCATGCAGGACGAATGGAGTGAATGGACTAAATGGTCATCCTGTGTCGCCATTTGGCCAAAGAAGGGTGAGATCGATGAGCGTTTGATCTTGAAGAGCCGCGTGTGCTATCGTTGGAAGCCAAAAGACGGCGGCACATCCTTCAAGGCGAAGGCCCGTGTGGTCGTACTCGGATTCCAAGATCCACCCAACGATGGCATCAGCAAGGAGGCAATACCTGAGTGGCAGGATCCCCAACTGCTGTACCGCCTGACGGCTCCTGTTTACGGGCAGGCAAACGCGCCAAGGCGCTGGTTTTTGCACGTGCTCAAAGTGCTCACTGACCTGAAGTGGCGCCAGCACTCGCTTGACCCCTGTCTCTTCATTCAGGATGACGGTGCTCAGGTCACAGCCCTGCTCGGAGTCCATGTCGACGACATAGTGACGTGTTGTCTGAAAGGATTTGAGTTTCTTTTGGAGCAGGTCAAAGAGGCTTTTGTGTGGGGATCTGAATGGGAGTATGACAGTTTCATTTTTGTGGGTCGAAAGATTCAGAGACAACCTGACGGAAGTTACACGATCGATCAGACCCATTACATGGCCGAGCTCTACACGACAAAGATCACAGAAGAGCTCGCTGCAGATCGAAGTTCACTCATCACGGAGTTTCGCTCTGGAATCGGAAGTCTGCAATGGCTAGCTGGTACAACTCGCGGCGACCTTGCAGCCGATGTGTCACTTCTTCAAAAGCCACCCAGCGAACTGATGGTGTCCGATTTGCAAGAGGTCAATAAAGTCATTAAGTATGCCCGTGCCACCTCCAACGCCTTCTTCAAGGTGATCCCCCTAAAGTTGGAAGAGCTTCTGTTCATCACCTACGGCGACTCTGGATGGGCAAATGCACCAAAGTGCAAGAGCCAAGGAGGCTATGTGATAGTTGCCACCAACAAGGGAGTGCTCGAAGAAGAGCAACCTGCTTCGCTCCTGGACTGGAAAAGCTTCAGGCATCAGCGGATCCTCCGGAGCACGCTGGCTGCAGAGGCAGCATCCTTGGACAGGGCTCATGACACGGGACAGTTCATCGCCTGTGTCTTCAGCGAAATGGTGGATCCTACATACCGTGCTACCTGCGGCACTCCGTTGTTCGAAGTGATTCCTGTCACTGATGCCAGGAGCCTATGGGATTCCATCCATCGCCTCAGCACGTCATTTGCTGAGAAGCGGGTTGAGATAGATGTGGCAGGTCTTCGTCAATCCTGCCGCAATTTGAGATGGGTGCCAACGGAAAAGCAAGCAGCCGATGCGCTGACGAAGCGCTGTGCCAAGCTGAGAGACTCTTTTAGACGGTGGGCTGAAGGCCCGAAGGTCACCTTGGTGGATTCTCGCTCCGCAGAGGATGGCGAGAACAATGATGGTTGGCGAAAGGTGTCTCAGGTCAAAGAAAACAAAGACCAGTGCGGATTCCATGAAACGGTTGACCATGAGACACCTCTCACCTTTTG